GTCAGGCAAGGAGTACGAGGATTACCAATTGAGGCCCAATTTCCCTGTCATGCTGGTGGTTGCTCCAGACTTGTGCAAACCCGAACATGCTCTGAATGCCCTCCAGATGGCCGACAGAGTGCTCCTGGGACCTCAGGGTATGAAGACGCTCGACCCCTCTGACCTCAACTACCGGGGCTATTACATCAACAGCGAAGACTCTACCGATTTCCACACGTCAAAGGGCCGTAACTACCACCAAGGACCTGAATGGGTCTGGCCTACGGGTTTCTTCCTGCGTGCCATGCTCAAGTTCGATCTTCAGCGCCGTAAGACGCCTGAAGAGCGTATCGAGAGCTACCAACAAGTCACACGTCGTCTGGCCGGTTGCATGAAGGCCATTCAGGAATCTCCATGGGCTGGTCTGACGGAGCTGACGCAGAAGGACGGCGACTTCTGTGGCGACTCATGTCCCACACAGAGTTGGAGTGCTAGCTGTATCATCGATTTGTTCCAGGATGCGCGAGAGTATGAAATGGCAGAGTCGAATGGCGTTGGCAAGTAGTTTAGGTAGTAGGCAGATGTGGTTGAGGATGCACTCAGGTTGTAAGTCGTGATTGGTACATATAAAATCGTTTGGATATTGTGACATATGGAATGATGACATATTGTGTTCTTGGACAATCGTTTAATAACCTGTGATTTGAGTATGATGTTGTTGTTGTTGTTGCCCCACCTGGAATGATTTGTGATGGAAAATATAAGACAGTCTTGTATCTTGTTTCTTTCTCTCTATCTGAAAGGTTCTTCACTGTGCCGTGGGATACTGGCTACTCGCGACCTGTTGTTACAATGTATCACCCCAACAGTTTTCAAAATCAAAGATCTCTCTCTCTCTCTCTCTCTCTCTCTCTCTGTACCATGAATTTAGAGAATCACTACCAACATTTCACTCGCAGTAGTAGTAGAAACAGTACAAACTACCATCCATCACACACCAATTACCCTTCTTTCCATACCCATTTTTTTCCGCTCTCTTTTCCTTATCCGCTTTTTACTGTCACTTTAGGACACTTTTTTTTCCAAGTCTGAGGTACAAAAGAAGAAGCAGAAGAAGAGTAAGAAACCTCTCTCTCTCTCTCTCTCTCTCTTCCCGTAACGAGCGAAGATTCCAGTGGATTAGAAATGCGGCAAGAAGACATGAAATGGGGAAATGATAGTTCTGGTGTGCATACATTTGTGTGTGTGTGTGTGTGTGTGTGTGTTTGTTTTTGACTTATAGAATGAGGGGGGAGGGGGAAGTGGGAGAGAGAGAGTCGGCAATTCGCCCTAGATTTTTTTCAAAAAAAAAGACTCAGGCCCTTGCCGTTGTTGTGTCTGGCTTGGATCATGAATTTGCATTACTGATGTTTACTGAACAGGTGGGAATGGAAGAAGAAAAGAAAACAAAGTGGAGTGCAGAAATTTCCGTAGTTGATCTGGCGTTTATGTTTGCCAGAAAAAAAGTCACTTGTTTTTTTTTTGCATTTACCGTGGTTGGTAAACGTGGGTTTCTTTGGGAAGGGAGACTACTATGTAATTTCACCTTTTTTTCCCCCATGTGTTTCGTTCTCTTCTTCTGTATGTGGGTAGGGTAGGGTGGGTTATGCATGCGCACAGCAGGACCCACTCCCCACTGCTTGTTTACAAACCTTTTTGTACATATGTGTATTAAACACTACCACTCACACCTTTTTATTTTCTTGTGGTGAAGTTCTCATACTTGTTCTTGTGGCTACAATTCCCGCATAATGCTCGTTCAAGTGGACTTTGGCCGAATGTACAAAGCCCCCCGCCCCCCGTGGTAGGGCTAACTGTAGGAATGACAAAACTCCACACGTTGGTGTAGTATAGTTTGATGCTCAAAGGGGGTAATGGAGAAACTGTATTGATAGAAACTCCCGATGAAACTCGGAGAGTGACAGAAGGGGGACTTTTTACTCGGTTGGTTTCGTCGCGAAGGCCGAATGTGGCGTTGAAAATGTAAGGGTAACGAGAAAGAGGGAGGGAATTGAAGCGGGTTGGGTGAGAAAAGAAAGGAATTGCCGAGAGAAGTAAAGGGCGAAAAGGGTAAATCACCATGTTATTCGAGTGTCACGCTGTACGGGGAGGGGGGGCTAGAAGCACGAGACTAGCTCCGCTTTTGGACATGGTGGAGCCAGGGCGTACCAGGTTAGACGGCGAACTTGGCAATCGGGCTTTGATCTGATAAAACTCGCAGACTGTCTAGGTTAGGTTTAGGTTTGGTTGTTTCTTTTTTTTTCAATTGACCAACTAACCTTCATCTTTGGTGTTTTGCTTTTGTCGTCAGCCTAGCTCTTGGGGTTGCTTTTTCCGCCCAACGGTCAGCAATCTACAGTGCATACCCCACACCAACCATTCCGATGCGTTGTCTCCAAACGAACTTGGCCAAGTTGCATGCATGCATGCATGCATGCGCGTAACATCTTCAGCTTATCTTTTTTTCCCACTTTGTCCCACTTTGCAATGCGCCATTAGCGTCGCGCTTTTCCGTTTTCTGGGGCTAGGAGGGAGAAGCAAAACCAGGTGGCGTAGCAAAAAGAAGTCTGTGGGACAGGGAAGGCACGGTTCCTCTGGTTGATGACTTATCCCCCCTCACCCCTCACCCCCTTCTTACCAAATCCATCACCCCTTCTTCCCTTGCCCACCATGCAACATGCAACATGCAGACGCCATAGCCGTAGGTGGAAAACGCTAAAAGGGCGGGCATTTCCTCCACCAATTCCTTGTTTCTCCGGAACCACTCATAAATACATGTGGTTCGTGGCTACAGGAGTTCAGACGGCAGGCAAGGGAAAAAAAACATAAAACCATAAGGCGGAAGATCTTGTGTGGAGAGGATTGCGGGAGTAAGAGAGAAAAGGAAAACGATGATGCGTCAAAAAGTTCAGCCATGCAAGCCGACGTAGGTACTGCTCATGAGACCGCCATTCAAGCGGCTACTATGGGCGGTGAATTTGGTAGAGCATAGAGAGTAATGCTTGTATGATCTCCATTACGATATGTCCCTTTGAGGCTTATTTCCTTCTTTTTTTCTTCCGTCTGGCTAATGCTAGACATGTGGACGTCAGCTTACTCGTAGAGTAGGATCTTAGCAAGTCACTCATCGAGTATGATTGGTAGGTGAAAAAATGGTGTCCAAGATCTGCGCTGTGGGCGCGATAAGTGTTAGGGCGTGTGGATGAGAATGAGCCAGTCTGGTTGATAGTCATCTTGCAGAACAAGGCTGTGGCGAAGGAAAGTGTAGTCTAGAGTAGAGGACGTTGTACCAAGTAAAACACAGCCTGGGTGGCTTGAAGGTATCATTTGATACCAGGAGACGGCAAAGTCGTGTGGGCAAAGGGGCTTTTTGGCTTTGAGCGTATCATGAATGGATCATCCGCATGGATGCCCATGATTATACCGCATCCTGACAAGTATAGATGACCCTTGTATTATCCATGTACACATGGAGGTACATATACCTAGTCTTCAAAAGCACGGTGCGTCATTCATATACTTTCTGTTTCTGGAGAAGGCGTGGTCATGTGCTCTTTCCAAGAAGAAAGAGGCGCGTGGCTGCGCGAGGGACTCGTAGAGAGGCATCCTCAATTCGTCTCAACAAATAAGCTGTACAAGACGCAGGCGCCGAATGTGATCTACAGTGCATAGCAGATGGTGTGTTACAGGGCGATGGTGATGCGTAATGTGACCAAGCCGTCACGGATATCATAGCAATCGCGACGATCGAATTGATTGCTCGCATGATTTGGATGCTCCTTGATCTTCTGCCACGTTATAGAAAATCGCAATCTCGCACAACCTTCATCTCCTGTTTGTTTTTAACACCTCTTGGGTCAATATTCGTATCCAGTCATAATCCATTCAACAACACAGCGGCTGCATAGACTAGGAAGATAGCGCTCCAGTCTTTCGACACTCCAATGGCCGATCAGCTGATCAAATACGATTTCCACATCTCAATGATACATTCCTAGACTAGCGGTCTGTATCTGGTCACCACGTTTGCATTTTTCTCCATCACAGCCTGCCTCTTTCAGCGCCCCTGCCATGGGAAGCAGCATGTCACTGGATTATGTTCAACTCTGTCTAGAGCACATGATATTCCGGGACGGTATTGTATTGATGTCAGAAGAGCTTCATAATAGGCCTTCGGCTGCATGGATCCGTGGCCAGAATTGTCCATGTCTAAAACGGTAGGATAAGGCGATCACTGTGCATCCTCATGCAGGTGACGCGGCACAGATTGAGAATAGGAGTGGAGTGGAACTTCGGCGGAGACAGAATGAACGGAAAAGCGATTTCAAATTCTGAAGGCGAATGCCGATGTCTGGTAGACAGATTGCGTGTCTCCAAGAACACAAGGTCATCCTGGCGAAGACAACATGGGTATGTAAGCGCTTACCCATAGCGTGTCGAGTGCAGTAGACATGGCCATGAGGTGGTAGCAATCCGGATCGACACAAGCGTCTGGACCTTTCATCGGCCATGCCACCTATCATGCAGTAGGATTGATGGCCACCAAGAGCTCAGATGATTTCTTTTTGAGAACATCTACTTAGAAAAGTGGACATGGATAACCATTAGAGCCACCAGGCGAAGGATTTGGGATCCACCAGTGGCATTGAACAGTGGCTGGATGCCTGTGGACGCACAGCCCAAGTCTCACTCAGAACCCATGGCCATGTCGTGCAGGTAAAAAAAAACGCACAACCGTATCATGTTCGCAAAGGTTTTGGAGTTATCTCATTCGGTGCAATCCGCGTCTAGGAACGATCCTGTAGGATGATGGTATGGATGTAGACTTCTTCTTTACTGGATACACACACTGTAATCGCACGGGTTCGTCCAATCGGCAAGGGCGTCTTGCTCTTCGTTCACCTATGTGCCAACGCCTCCGCCCGCCTGCGCCACAGATGGAATCAGCGCAACTGATCTGACTCGTTTTTTTCCCACTCTCTTTACAGGTCAATACATTGTTTCAAGAGCAGCGCGCATCCCTTTGTCTGGTGGGTTTGGGGGGTTAAAATAAGGTACGGACGCGGCCCGGATAGCGAGCCCCACAAAGAAATTGGAAGGTAGTGAAACCGTTGGTCCATGCACGCCCAAATCAGACACATCTGAAAGGCATTCATGTGTGCAAGTGAACGTACTGTGCCAAAGCTGACGTATGTTGTTGGATTCCATTTGGCGGATGACAGTACAAATTCTAGAGCGTCGTTGTTACTGCTGGTGTTGCTACACAAGTGTAATACGGATTGCCATTGGGGCCGACCAGTTCCGCTCCAACGGTCCATCACGAGCACGTTCTCGCCCATCTTTCCAAATAAAATATTAAATGCCGAGGCACGACTGCGTCTGACTAAAACAGGAGGGAGGGGACCTTCCGACAAAAAGGACCGACCGACTGCAGAGTGACCTTTTTCCAACTGCGGAACATGCACTTGAAGGCGGAAAGGAGCATTAACCCGGTCGAGTCTTTCAAGGCCCCATCACCCCATAGCGTGTGCGGCACGCTATTGGGAAATTGCAATAATGATGACTGCCTATGGAAGCCATAGGTGCATATGTTGGTGACTAGCAAATGGAATGCAGGCAACCGTGTCGATCGGATCCATCGCGTTGTTCAGCAACTGATACGAGCTACGCCTAGGCATATTCAGGCACCGCAATGGAGACCCGAGGGTCGCCATGTTGAGACTGACTACCGAGCCATGTTGGAGGAGGCACGACCGTCTGATGAGCTAGGGAGGATAAGAATCGGTAGTGGCAAAGGTTAAGTTGAGCAATGTTGAACCTGGACTAGCACTGGAAGTTGATGTTTGCATCTACGACTGCATTTGCTTGCTGTAGCATAAGGCTAACCTGGGCGAGAGTGTTTTGCATGGCCAGGCGGCTTGGATGTTTCGATGTCGTGCAGGAAAATATGCACGGCTAAGCGAAGTGATAGCTATCGGTTGGACGGTATCAGCAAGAATGCCAGAGGCTTACGGATCTGAGCTGCCGGGGCGAGCTAAGTATTGGTCATGCATCATCTGCCTGCAATTGATCGGCGCGACGTTTCTTCCACGACGATCCTGCGTTGGTAGTTAGCGTGGTTTTGAGGATGCACGAGAACCGGGGAATTGCTTCCGACGGCAGGGATGCAGTGTGAGTAGGACCAAGGCTTAGCATTCATATGTCTCAACCACTTTGGTGGACTCGCTAATTCTGGCGTGAGACGACACGGGCGACGTACGTGTCTGGATAGCCGCCCCATGGATATGGCTACCTGAGACGGCTGATGTGAGTGCCGGGATGTGACTTTGCCCGGGATAAGACATGTGTTGTCGTTGGCATTGCACGGTGTGGATGCAAGCAAGGGACGTGTTAGTTAGGGCATGCATTTCCGGACAGAAGAGCAGCGGCATGATATTGGGGCGACGGCTTTCAACTCAGCTTTGGGCTAGGGCTGTAAGCGTCCTGGCATGTGGTGTAACTTGTCGAGACACTGGGTCTGTACAACGATAGAAAACACTTGTGAAACTCTGTGGATGGCTGGCCCGGGTAAGAGTCGAAAGCTCAGGTACTCGGGCCGTTGGTCAATTGCGGCATGCCGTAGTGGCTCTCAGGTGGTGACGAAGTGGATATTGTGCATGGGCAAGTAATAGTGCAGAGAAATGACCGGAAAGAGAGACACCATAGACAAGTGGTGACCGTAAGAGGCTTGGAGGGCCATTGGTGCGTCCCAATTCAGCCATTTGTCGAGGCTCGCGTACAGGTAACCGACAGGAGAGCCAAAAAAGCAACCATGGTCTAGGACCACGCAATTGAGTGATCTTCGTTAGCGACATATGGCGCTGAAAGCTAGGTGGGATCATTATGCAAGTACCCGAAGAGTGACTACTGTAAGTAATGATTGTCAGACCACAAAGCCAAGCAAGTCCAGAGGGTCGAAAAGGTCGCGAGGCCAGCAAGGCAAGCAAGGCCAACAAGGCATGCAAGGCATGCGAGTCGTTGTTGCTCGTGACGGGGAGGACATTTGTGATGGGAAACGAGGTGGATGCCAGGCTCTGACTCGGCGACATGTCCTGCAGAGCGACTAGCGGCTCCCAGAATATGTGCGTATGAGCATTTCCTGGCTAGGGGTCTCTGGTAGACGAGGTGCTTGGGAAAAGGCTGTGATCGGTCAAGCGTAGGAGTGCAGACAGGCCAATCAGGGGCGGGTCCGGGTACCGAGGAAGCAGGACGAGGAAGGCGCGGGCGCGGGACGTTTCCTCATGGAGAGTGGTAAATGAGGGTCGGCGCACCTCTCATCGGTCAAAGGCCATGGAGGGCAAGGGTTTCGGCTGTGGTGGATAGGATGGCCGTTGAGCGAGCGCGTCAGAACGGCGCAGGTGAAGCCGGCCAGCTAACGCCACAAGCACCGTTGGGTGCTAGCCGAAACAGACAAGCAAAGGGGGGAGGGGGGGAGGTGCGGGCGACAAAGTCAAGAGTGGCGAGGATTGCGAGAGGGAGGGAACGGTCGATCAGATTACCATGTGTTGGGTGAGGTGAGCATGTGTGGTGTGGGTTGGACGAGTGATGTGGTTGTAGTGGTGAGGGCTTGGCGGAGGCGGCAGCGGCTATGGCAGCCGCCACTAAACAAGGACAGCACGACAGCAACGGTATCAGCATCAGCATCACTGTCATCATGGCCTTGTTTGGGCAGCGGGGCGAGGTTGATGGGTCGGCTGCAAGTAACCCCCTTTTTGGTGTTGTCGATGGAGTTCATGGCGGCTTTGGGTGGGCGTCGCGGGAAGCCCACAGTTGGGTTCACCCAGTTGCAGCCGCACAAGCAGGTTGAGGTGCAGGAGGATGCTCATCAAACAAGCAAAGGAATGGTGGGACGGGCGGCGGACAGGCAAATTGGACTGGGGCAGCCTGTTGCGGGCGGGCGTGGCGGTGGGAGATGTTTGTGGAAAGGATGGTTTGCAGAGCAGGGCTAGCAGGGAGGGGTGGTCACGTGACGGATGGAGAGGTAACCACGGTGGTAGTGGTGGTGGTAGTGATGGTAGTGGCAGGCTATTCTAGGCGACTGCGTGGCCGTGGCCGTGGCCGCTTGCCGCGGTGGGCGCACGACGACGGCAGGGTAGAGGCACAAGGGAAAACACGGGCGGGAGAAGCTGTGGCCGTGCGCAAAGAGGGTGGTAAGCCGCACGGGCAGTGTAGTGGGTGAGTAAGGATATGTGCGGATGGATGGGGGGATGTGGATGTGGATGAGTGGATGAGTGGATGAGTGGATGAGTGGATGAGTGGATGAGTGGATGGGATAGGCAGACGTGTACAATGAATGTTAGTGTATGCAATAGTATCTAGTGGTAAGTATGTAGACGGATGGATGGAGAAGGGGGGGGAGGGAGAGAAAGCGTGTTTACGTGTGTAGCATGTCAGTAGGTGAGAGAGTAAGTAAGGAAAGTACGTGCACGCACATGGCAAGTACGATACATACGTACACTACATAGATGGATGCAGTAATGATGGATTGATAGGTGAGTAGGTACTCTACTTGGACTACTTGGACACATCCATACTAGTAGGATTACATGCACTGGCACACAGACACTATCGTGCTCAATGAAATGTCGCCCGTCGGGCCGAGACACGACGAGACGCTGACTGAGGAAGGCAGACAGGCAGGCAGGCAGGCAGGCGGGCAGAGATGGGTACATAATAGTTGGTTGCTACAAAGGCACCAGCACCAGCACCAGCACAGGACAGGCAGGGCGGCGGCGGCGAGGGGGCGGCTTGGGAGCTTGGGAGCGTGTGCACAAGCAGTAAGTTCAGGCCCGCCCAACGGATCGCCTGCCGCCAGCCCCGAGCCCCTTGGCGGGCTGGCACCCATGCACCCATGCCCGTCTGGCCTCCCGGCCGTAAAAGCGCACGGGGGTTCGTGTGTGGCGCGCATGGGTCCAAGGACGGGATTAGGTCCCCGCTGCATGCCATCCATCGCGGGTGGGTCTCCTGCTCTTCACATTGCAGCAGCGCGTTCCCCCGCAGCCAGCACAAACCAGTGCCAGGCCTACCTCCCAAGCCGCCCCTCGACCAGGGGGCTCCAGCCGGTTCATCCTCTGCCTGGCCCGCGAGCGGAGCTGCACTGCATCTGCTCGAATCCCAGACCCTTTAGACTCTCCCGTGCGACTGTCTTCTTGTGCCACCACCCACCGCTTTCCTCTTGCTCTGCCCTTCACCCAGCCCGCTGACCGCCGCACCCGACCATATAACCACCGAATGCCATGATGGGCAGCGACTGGCATCCACGCAGGCACCCGCACCCGCACCAGCACCAGCACCCAGACCCAAACAACTACGCCCATCGCTCGCTCCCCAGCTTCGCCGAGCTGACGTCGTCGTCGACCGACTCGTTGTTGCACCGCCCTCGCGACGCTGTCCCACCTCCACCTCCGCCTCCACCATCACTACCTCCGCCGCAACACCAGCACCACCAGCAACACCAGTCTCAACCACCCTTATCCCACCCCTTGCCTCCAGCCCCAATCGACCGTCCGGCTTCACGCTCCACCCCGCCCAACGGCCTTCCTTCCACCGACTTTGCAAACCAGCCGCTCGCCGCAGACCGCGCTGCTTTTACTCCCATTAATCACGCGAGCCCTCACGTTAGGTAAGTCATCGCCTCAACTCTCATTCTCTCATTCTCTCTCTCTCTCTCTCTCCCGTGCCCAATCTCCTCCTTGCCCCCAACCGTGCTTACTCGTTTCCCCAGCCCCACAAACACCAGAGCACCTCCAGCTGCGCCCCAGCCTCAGAGGTATCCGCAGTCTTTACCACACACCACTGCTGCGCCATACAGTCCCCCACTGTCTACGCGGCTGTCGCAACCCCTGCACGACACGGCGCCGTCGCAATCATCAACTGTCAACACTCGCCAAGACTCTGCGGTTGCTCAGCACCCCTACGACCACCCCAAGGACACTGAGCACTCTGTTCCTTCATCCATCTTTTCCTTTTCCTATGTTCATCCTGCCAACGACAGCCGTCGTCAGTCAGCATCTCGTCCCGTCTCCCACCCTATCGGGCCATCTGCACCCCATTCTCCTCCAGGCGAGTCCCGCTTGAACCAAAGCCAGCCCCCTCCAGAAACCGGAGCAGCTGGCCTAAGAACGGCGCACCCTCCGCCACAGTCTGCACCCACTCAGTTTGCACCAGAGCCCACTAGGTCACCACAACAGGGGCGAGGCCCTGCTGCAGCACCAAACTCGGACTCTGGATTCAGGAACCCCCTGCCTTCTCCCACTCTCGACCAGACCAACGGCAGTGGGCGACACCAACGCTACAACGTCCGCTTCAACACAGTCTACACTTCAGAAAACATGCCACCCAGCCAGAAACCCAGGAACGACCCTCCGCCAACGGCACCTCCTACAGCAGAGCCAGTCGAAGACCATAAGTCGCCCTCGGAGCAGACTATTACGCCATCAGTCGAGCCGGTGATTCCATCAGCGATTCCTCCACCACAGTCACCTGAAGAGCAGCCGCCACCACAGCAGCAGAATGCTCCTCAATTAGAGCGATGCAAGGGATGCCAGGAGCCCTGGAGGCGGCCGCTGCCAGGTGAAGACCAGTATCGACTGAGTTCGCCAGCACAAAACATGAGCGACCAACTGGCCTTGACACAAGACTTCATCAAGAAGCTAGAGAACCATGCCAAGTTTGCTGACGAGGCATATGCCGCCTGGCAACGAAAACACCGGTGGTGCGTTGTGCAGTCCACGAGCCCTTCTGCGACGGATGCTCCAGCAGAAACACGCAGCAAAAGCGAGGAAGGGCATTCTCCCACCGAGGCTCCCGCAAGCCTAGTTTCGACCAAGCGCAAATCAGAAATCCCCCACGAAGCTTCCAAGTATCGCAAAGTGAACAACTTTGAATCCCAATCTAACGTCACGCCACCCGTTCGTCCTACTGCTCCGGCATAAAACAGGGGGATGGGGGCTTTTACCATGCCATCTACGATTATTCCTCATTGGAGACTCGAGTCTCTGTTTTGTTTGCATTCGCATCTGCATCTTGGCCGGTGTTTGTGTCTGCACAAGAGACGGCTTCCGCTATACCCCAATCCGGGCGTCGTACTCACTTTTAGCAGCTTGGCTTCTACTTACTGGCACTTAGTTCTTTATTTTTTTATTTTTTTTTACCAGAGGTACACTGCACAGAGGATCCGTACTAGACGGACAGGAAAAAGGACCGGCGTTGTCATTATCCCACGGTGTTTCCCTTTTTGCGGCGTGGTTCCCACCATCGCCACAGTCTCCCAGACGAGCGGCATGTGCAGAGCGCGCCCGCCGATTTTGTGCGCTTCACGACGCCATGTATCCGACGCTGTACGCAAATAGGCCCTTTGGCATTGCGTTTTGCATCACCACCCTTGCTTGCAGGCGGGCCTTTTTCTTAGCGTCTGTAATATGTACCTACTGCACCTGTTGTTACTGCACGGTATTGCCATATACCCAAATTCCAAGTCATGTTCAAAAAAGGCAAAAAAAAAAGTTCGCTCATCCCGCTCTTCCACCTTCCCCGTCTTCCCACTTCTCCGTCATTCCCGGAGGTCCCCAATGCATGGATTCTCAATTCCCGAGTGACGGCACCATTGCTCAGGCGTGAAACTCGAAAGCGTAATGAAGAAAAGAGCCCCAGTATATGGTGGGCAAAACAAGGGTATCATTGGGTTGCGCCAGCCCCGCTGGAGGGACCTGGTCAGTGTCAAAGCGGATCGGTACGAAACCCAAAGACTGATTGAGAAGGTAGGCGGCCGCTAGAAACAAGGACATAATTTTTTTTCCCTGTGGCTCGTATATAATCTCGATTCATGCTGGCAGGCCTGCCTTTGTTGGCCAAAAGGAGGACTGATGGGAGTTTTTTCCTTGGTCTTGGCTCTCTTTTTTTGGGGAAAGCAGAGCAGGGCAGGGCAGAGCAACCACGACACGAGGAAGAGAAGATCACATCGGCAATTTCATACACTCAACAAAAAGCTCTAGCCATCGACATCATCCAGCACCGCAGACACTAGGACGGGGCCGCAAATCACATGGTCGGAATTCCTTCCAGCTTGCACTATGTGATTACCTGCATGACTAGCTACGCCCTTACATTGCTGGTGGAAACGGTATGGAATGACACGGCTGACGGCTGACGGCTGCCGAGCGGGGCTTCCCGAGTCGTCAACGCTGCTGAACTGACGATGCAACGAATCACACCTGATCGCGCGAGCTGCCTACTTTGGTCAAGCGGAAATTTGCGACGGTGCCTGATATATGTGTTTGAGTGTAAGTGAGTGTGGGTATGTATGGGAGAAAATAGAAGGTTAGCGGAAGCTATCGGGGGGTGGGGGGGAGGCAGCGTGACATGTGAGAGGGGCGGGTCGGTATGGGAGATGGGCGTGGCATGTAATAGACAAGCGGCAGGGACAAGCAAGAGAGATATCAATATGGCGATAGAATTAGCAACATGGAGGGAGAAGAAGAAAGGGCCTTAGAGGGAGGCGTTTGGTAAGCAGTAGGTGTACAGCTAGTGGGTGCTCGGCGCTTGTGATTGGCCGGCTCGCAGGGAATTGGCAGGTGCTGATGCGGGGCGGGGCGGGCTGACGGAGATCTCTGGGAAGGGAAAAATCAAGGTTCATACTGGCGGCAGGGACAACGCACATAGTGGTTCGGCGGCAAGAGTCAACTATGACCTCATCGCCGAGTCGCGCGCTGGGGAGCAAATGACCACACAGTCATGTACCCTACACAGCACTTGGATGGAGACGTTTGATGCAGGCAGATGCAAGCACGAGAACAAGTCCGGCGGACCGCGACCCATGGCCGGGAGAGCGTGGAAGGTGCTACACCTAAAGAAAACGGTTTTTGGCGCATGTTGCCACGATTCTCACGCGATTGTGTGCCGATCGCGCAGGTTAGCGCAGCGAGCCACGCATGCTCTGTACCTCGAAGGGTGTTACTACATAAGGACCCATAGCGGACGGGTGGTCGAGAGTTCGCTTATTTTGCACTCAAAGGGAACAAATGCGAGAAGCAATCCAGTTCCGAATTGCTGGGACTTTCTGACGGCAAGGGGTTGGAACACGGTTGCAACGTCTTTTGAGCAAAGTGGTTAGTGACGATCACTCGGCGCTGGTAGCAGCTTCGGGCAATGCTGCGTATTGATTGCAGACGTGAGGTCTAGCGCGGCAGCAAAACTTTGTCGGGTCATGCTAACGGCTTAGGACTGCTCGTCAAGTCGTGTCGCGCCTCACAGACGGTGGGGAGGGAGGGGGGGGAGAGGGGGGAAGGGACCGCAATCGGGCCGTAACGTGATTGCGCTCTCGCTGCTTGGGACACTCGGGGCTCGCTACCCATAGCAATGCCGAAAACCTGCTGGCTGGCAATGCCGCGGCCTTGTCAAACTGCCGCTGACATGGCGTGTCTGGCACGTGACTGGCTCGCTCGGCGCCGGTCCCGGCAGCACCTGTGCCCCTCTCACTCTGCCAGGCAGCTAGTTCATACTATAGCACTACAAGTATACGTCCTTACATGTACGTATTATGTATGTATGTACATGTACCGACTTCGTACACAGACACGCAGACGTTAGCAGCCACGTAGCACACGTCGGCTCTCGAGCCCGTCGCTGCGCGTCTCAATATGCCTGCCATGCAACCCCAACGCTCTAGACGCCTTGCACTTGGACTTGGACTCGTCCAGCTCTTTCCCCATGCAGCGCGCCGTATACCAGTGGCGTCGATTCCAAATTCCGCTTCCCCAGCTTGGCGATGCATCATCGACAACGGGAGGGCACAGACAGCACCCGTCCCCGTCGGCGAGTCAGACCCCCCGTCGAGCGCTAGCCGCTCCCGCCTAGCCTGGGTCCGACCTGGCTTCCTGTCCCTCTGTCCCTGACTGGCGTCGCATTCAACTCCCACCCAACCCACCACGCCCTCGAGTCACGGTCGTCGGCCTGCTCCCTCGCCTCGCGCGGAACCTCACTCTTGACTCGCCAAAAGTTGCAAACAACTGGGATCCAGCGGCCCCGGCTCACAAACTGCCGCTGCTGCGCGTCCCGGCCAATTTCTCCCGCCCTGCTGGCACGTGCATGACTCACGCTGCCTGCTCCCCCCGGCTGCACACAGCCATTCTTATCACCCCTCGTCCTGTGACAGCTGTCAATACTCTGGCCCTTTTATGCACCCAAGCCCTATCAGGCAAGAGACGGGTCCCGGTTGAATTGGGCCGACAGTTGCTGTTAATGAGCCATGTGCGCTCCATGATCATCGTCAACGATATAGATTGAGATACTTACTTGCCTTTCCCATACTCAAGCCCGACCACCGACGGAAGACTGCTTCCGTCCCAAACCAGCCTTCTCCGCCTGTGAATCCTTCGTACCCGCACCCACCCAATCAAACCCCCACGACTGAGGCATTTCTCACCGACCTGGCAAATGGGACGTTGCGAATTTCACCCTTGGTTGACGTTTTTTATTTTCTTGTTTGAGCCTACCGGTCACAGCAGGGCCAAACATCAAACACCAAGCATGCCACGCCACTGGGACAAGGCCGTTGAATCGTTCCACTCAAATAGCCGCCTGATGACATACTTGCTATGCGCATGTACATTACTTACTGACCACATCATTAGGGAGTCGTCTCAGATGCTACACACCCAAACACGGCGATGATTACCCAAATCACCATGGACGCTACACATGTATATGCAAAAAATATCGCGCCAAATCCCAGCCTTAGCAGCCTCACGCACACACACGTTCAGTAGCCTCACTGCTCCGTTCCATTATTATCACGGCCCCAGAATGACAATCTCAGCGTTTCAACCCGCCTCGGATCAGAATCTACAGGGTTCCCGCTGATGACCGACTGGCTGGGCCTCGAGTCCGACGTATATTCGTGACGTATTCTCCCCATGACACAAATGCACATCTATGTGCTTGTGCAACATGTCCTGCTGCCATCCATATTCAGTCTTTATCTCGTCGCCCCGTGTTCCATACGGCAATCATCTACCACACTTGGCAACGGGTCGTGTTCTTGTTTTGACTCAACCCTGACCCTGGTACCTTCTCCCGACAGGTCCGGAGTTTGGTTCCGACCTACACACGTTCACCCAGCGTTACAGATGACATGTTGTGTCCATATCGGATCCATCGAAGACATCTAGATTATCTGATTGCCGCGATCATCTAGATTTGTGTATCGCGATTATCCCGTTCTGACGGGTAGTGACGCTAGACCCGGCCCGCCGCCCAGCCTCACATACACGCACACGTACACCCATACGACTGGAAGAACGCCCCAAACTCCAGTTTTATTCCTGCCAAAAACCACTTTCGTGAATGCTAATGCACGTCACACCAACATGCCATGCCGCCCGCCGACTGCACCGCCTCTTCGCACCGTCCCCTAATTTGTTTACGAATTTATGTACCGCATAGCCCCTTGATGTGTTGCTCTGATGCGCCCACCCACTTTTCTGGGAACCCCGCTTGGCGCAACACTGACACGTTCACGATGACAGAAACAGAATACCGAGCGAGTGGCCTCGGTACGAAGTTCCGTCCAATCACCCCATTAACCCGGCCAAATATCCGGGCACAGACAGCGTGTTGAGGCTTAGTGCTGAATACAGTTTCCAGATCAGTAATCACATGATAGATAAAGCAGCATAGTATGCACGTATCGTGAACCTAGAGTGAAGTAGAGAATATTGAAGTAAAAATCCAAGGTTTACATTATACGCATGGTGATCACCTGCCTCGCTAGCTATCTTTGGAACAAGAAAAAGGGAAGGAAGAGACGCGAGAGAGAAAAAAGCAAATACATCCCGAGCTGTGGCGACGTTTAGGACCTGCAAGCGTTGAGACCTGCATGATAACGGGTTTTTGAGTCTTGGACGTGGAACGGGTGGAGAGGGAATTTGCTGGAAAAAGGAACCACCCCAAAAAAGGGGAGTGGGGCCCTCGTCAATGACGACGGACGGTTGGTACCCGTTGCACACATCATTGCCCTTTGATTGCCCGGGTCAATAGATGCGTGTGTGCCGCTGCACAAACCCACCGCATCAACTCGAGGAAGGTCTTAGGCCCGGGACGCATGTACGTAGTATGTAGTGTATGTAGTATGTATGCGGAACTACGCCTGCCCCGTCGTTGCTTGAGACAAGGTTGTGGGGGTGCCTTCCCTTCCCTTCCCGACCACGAGTCAGGGTCCAACCCATCTTCCCCTTCAGCGCTTCCTGTCTTGTCTATCCGCCCCTTCTTCACAAACATGTGACAGTTGTATTACTGTACCACATAATCCACACTAGCACTCTCTCTTTCACACACACACACACACACTCATATCACCTACACGTTTTTTTCTCCCTTAGACAAAAGTCCGGCTGCTCGCCTTAAAACACGCCATGCTCTTACTTACCAGGACCTGGACCTGGACCTGTTTGCGCCCTCGAGGGGATTGTCAGCGCTAACGCCACAATCCCCTCTTCTTCGCCCCCCCCCCCTCCAAAAAAAACGCAACACACTGACGACATCGAGCATCCGCTTTTATGTATTGTTTATACATGTATATGCGTGTTGTTGGATACAACATACTATTGCCTCTGGCCAAAACCCACACCCCACCAAAGGCATTCTCCCCATTCCGCATACTTACCTATTCTAGATCCTCTTAGCGTCATTTACACAGTCCCTTTGGGGGCGCACCGCCTCCCACCACTACCCCCCAATCCACTCCACTCCCCTTCCCTTAAACCCTCCCACACTACCACCCACATCTCCGTGCATTATCGGACTTGCCGCTTAGAGGCAGCATCGCGCCATTGCTAAACTCATTTTTTGGGAACCCGGCGCCTGCTTCATCGACGTCTCCTGCTAAGCCGCAAATCCCCGTTCCCTGTTTCCGGATTTGCCCTCTTTTCTCTAATACGCACACGCTTTTTCCCTGTTCCTTCACCCCTTCCCCCCTCCCTAACTCTCATATCCTTGTGTCTTTTCTTTCATGGGGGTGGGAGGGATCAAAAGTGTAGTGGAGGGTTGGAAAGAGTAATTAAGCGAAGGGGGATAGGGGGGTGTGGTTGGTTGCAAAGTGCTGCGGGGTACGTGGTTTGAGATTGATGATGGAGGGAAACGGGAAGGATTTGGCGAGATTGGCGTGGCTGCGCCTGTGGCACACTAGCTTTGGTTGCGTGATATTTTTTGCGGATGGATGGATGGGGGGGCAGGGACGGAGAAATGGTGTGGGTGGGTGGGGACGGAGGCGGAGAGGACGCAAGAAGATAGAATTGTGGCCGCCCCGGGTCATGTCAGCAAAGTGTTTTGGTGATGGATGAAGAGAATTGATTGCCAAGGGGGTGGTGGGGGAGGAAGAGGGAAGACTTCGGCATGTGGGTTAGGCGCTGGCATTGGAGGGGGGGAGGGGGGCGACTAGGTGTAGATGGATGTTCCTTCTTCCTCACCCTCTTGATCTCTTAGAGTGTACACCTAGCGTGTAGTTGTCATTGGTGTGCGCTGGCGCGGGGCGTCAATTGATCACGGGAAGAGCTTACAGCTGGAATCAACGGGTCGAGGGGGTAGATCTACTGGCGCATGTTGGCTGTATTAGTTGCCGCTGTCATGAAATGCCCTTGCACAAAGTTTAGAAAAGAAACTCTCCCCTTATGTGTGTGGACATGAATGTATTGGGTATCAAGTAGTAGGTGCATCGCACTTTGTGGGGTGGCGTACAATTGGGCACTGAGGGAATGCATACATGTGCCGATTGGAGCAGGAGACATGTCATGTGTGAGTAGAAGTAAGAGGAAGCTTGTTTGCTTCTGTATTCGGCATTGTTGTAAGCCCTCTCTTCAATGATGTTGTTGGGGGGTTAATGTGGTTGTGACTGTTGTGGCAAAAAAATACTTAACATAGCCGCTGGGCTCTTTCGCCAACACACACCTTTTCGAGGTCGCACTATTGGCGTCTTCGATCGATCTACCCACCTGACCATGAGGCTCTTGTTCAATTCGTCTATTTACCTAGCACGTAGCGCGTTCGCCCAACCACTTGGCTGATACTCGGTTGGCCTTGCACACCCCACACACACACACACACACACACACACACACACACAGAGAGAGCATACATCCCTACATAGACGCCTCCCAACGCCCTCTCACCGGACAAGGCACACACACATGTGCGAATCACAGCGTCTGGTCGTCGATCTGCCCAATGTTGCCCAATATGCCCACGAAAAGCGCATTTCAAAACATCCAAGGATAGACGCCTCTTTTTTTTTAAACTCACTTGTCTCAGCCTTTCAGCCCTGCCCGCCTCCGGACTAGATCTGGCATGGTAGCTGGACTAGCGCGTCGCCCCGAGGCACTGGACTTGCAACCAAGCGCTTGTCGCGCCTTCGACCCTTCTCGGTACGCGCGTTCGTATTCCCCTCGAGAACCGCCGCGTGATCAACGTAGCGAATCCATGGCCTGCAGCGAATCATGCTCGAACCCGCGCTCCATGGCTTTTCCGCCCGGACTCTTGCCGCATCGCCTTCTCTGACGATGCGCTACTGGCCCTCTCTTGTCGCGAAACAATGCTATCTCCTCGATATTAAGATGGGCAGGATATCTTTAAACCCATTAAGCTCGGGGATCAACCTTGCACTCCTGCCTCTCGAGACGTCATCGACTTGCAAACCGAGTTACATCCATTTTGCCCTTTGCCCTCCCCCCCCACACACACATCCTTTCGCCCTATCTCGCGATATTTTGTACCCACCATCGCGGGTTTTCTCAGCGAACACTTGTCCTTTTTATCACTCTTTTTTTGCTTTTTCGTTCTTGCACCTGCAGCTGCGAGATCAAGCGACTAGCAAATATCTCATGCATGAAATTATTGCGCCAAATGTTTCCTCCTGCTTCTGACCACCCGCGCCCCCCTTCCCAGCCTCTCTCCCTCCGCAGCCTTCCTCCCCCCCCTGCGATCGCTGGGCTTGAAACCCTGTTCCCAATACTATGGTAAACTTTTGCTAGCTCCAGTAGCCGACTGAGTCGTAACCCTTTCTCTCTTCTGGCAAACAAGGGACTCCCCTAAACTCTCTCTCAACTCTGTTATTTCCTCCGACCGACGGGCGTCGGCGACGGGCAGGTCGGCATGCGGCTAACCCATCATCATCATCATCATCATCAAAAAAGGCCCGACGGCAGGGCTTCCTTTCTCCCCCACCCATGAAAAACAGCCGGCGTAGAACTGCCGCTGACAATTATGTCACAGCTGTGGTTTTGAAAACCAAAAGTCCCGTTTAAGTTTGCTACGTAGCCCTTTTAATAGCTTAGGTATCCCAGTCTTTAACATTTGTATACGTCAATTACCTCATCCCCCCCGGTTCCGTTTTGCAGCATTCGGCGCTCCCTCCCTTCGTTCTGATTGTTTCGTTCGGCTTTAATGGGGACCGGAACACACACACATACAAAAAAAGATGAAGGTACGCGTCGCGCCGGTTCCCGGGATCGCCTCCGTTCTTCCGCCCCCTTCCTAATGACTCTCTGGTGGTGAGACCCTTCTTTTTTGGGACGGGAAACTCTGGGTATCTGAAACTTCTCTGCCGCTGCGCGGGTTCTGGGCAGATTGCCGTCACAGTTACCTTGTTTCGACTGGTGATTATCTGTGCACAGAGCCTCTTATTCTCCGGCGAAGACTATTGGGCTTGAAGAGAGAAAAAAAATGCTTGATTGTACTTCCCGTTTGCACATCCAACTTGGACTACGTATGCTTTTTACCATTTTTGTCTATTACTGTTTTTAGGTGTTTAGGTTAGACTAAGATCGAGAGAGAGAGAGAACCCTTGCTTTAATTAAGTATTCTACTGGGTTGGTATCGTCCTATATTATGCTCACCCTATAGTAGAACTCGTGTCGTATAGAAGTTGTGGTTGGTTGAATAAAACCTCGTGTGCATTCGAGTGATTTTTTTTGTACAAAAGTATTACACTCGTAAACGACCCCCCACATCCCGACGACATCGATGCAAGCCGCCGCCGAAAAAAGAAAGCAACTCGTCGTCGGAACATCAACCCGGCCAATCAAATTCTTTCCGAATATTTGTCTTTTGACCCTGAATATTCGCAACTTCATTCCTGTAAGTTCCATATTCACCACACGAGAAATATATCAAGGTCATGGCCGAGTAAAAATGGGCGAGTAGGTGTTCCTCGACAAGGGACATTTTATCCGCATATCGCCGGGCGTCACCGATGAACTGATTATGATTTTATCTTAGCCAAGGGTAAGAGACAGAAAAAGAGAAACAAGAAAGAATGAGAGTAACGGAATAAGCCACATATTCTTACACCGGAGTGTAGTCTGGGAAAAGGAAAAGTCCTCTCCAGGGGTGAGGTAATGAGAGAGATCACTGTAAGCTGTCAGACGGGGAATTTGATAAAGTGGCAAGAAAAAAATGAAATAAGAAAGATAACCACTAACAATGAAGCCAAGGCCCCTTGCATCTAAGACATGACATCAATCTACATGGTACCTTGTTCCAACGTCGCTCGCCAAAACAATGCGTTATCAACGCCCACACACACACACACACATACGCCTCTCCCCCCTCCCTGACTCTCCGAATCACACTGCATCGATTCAAGGGAGAAACCAGTTAGAGCTTAGTCCCCATATTAATATGCACGGCTTTGACCTGGGAGTAAGCATCGAGGCCAGCCTCGCCTCGCCTCGCACCCAATACCGTTGTGCTTGACGCCTCCAAAGGGGGGGATGGAAGACTCTAAAGTCGACATGCTGACTGCTATTCACTCCCCCCCCCCACACACACGGTACCCGCTTCGATCTCGGCGGCGACTCTAAATGCGTACGCTCGAGGTCGCGGGTGAAGATGGCTGCTGCCGAGCGCCATACGCCGAGTCATTGGGCCATGACAACGGGGTTTTGCTCTTCGTCCTTTTTGAACGTTGATAACAACGGCAATAGGTCCGAATGGGGGTTTTTTTTCTTTCGCGGTAGATGCGCATGCTGGGCTGCCGCTTTGGTGGAGGATGCAGTGGGCTTGACGAAGTAGCCGCAGCTGTTGCGGGCTTCACCGCTCTCGCGGAGCTGCGCGCCTTCCGACTTGTCAGTGTCTACGTATGAGAGCATCCGTTCGTATTGCTGCCGGGTCACTTTGAGAAGGGGTCTGGAAGGTAGACACTCGCTCCACTGGTCGCTAATGACGGATACTTTCTTTGACTTGCTGCCGGAACTGAGCGAGGGAGGTTTCGTAGATTGATTCTTGGACTAGAATCCGCGATGTGGCAGTGCAGATCTGGGCCTTGATTCGACATGATACCAAAATGAGACCATCGTACCGCTTGCTCCATGTCGGCGTCGTCAAAGACGAGCAACGGAGACTTACCGCCCCGTCTCTAGAGTGATATTCTTCAGTCCTACTACAGCCCACCTTCCTGATCTGTGTGGCTTGTAGCTGTGAAACCGGCAAAGGAAACCTTGTCGACCAACGGATGCTGTACTAATGCCGTGTCTGCCTCCTTTCCTAGACCATTCAGGATATTCACCACGCCCGGTGGGAACCTAGCTTGCTCAATGAGGCTGGCTAAGATGAGAGTTGGCAGAGGCGTTTGTTCGGCGGCTTTGAGTACCACAGTGTTTCCGCAAGCAAGAGCAGGGCCGATTTTCCAGCATGCCATGGGCAAGGGATAGCTCCAAGGAATAACTTGGGCGATAACACCAACGGACTGGCGGATCGTATACGCAGACTTCTGGCGCGTGGCATTAACAGCCTGGCCAAAGATCTTATCTGCCCAGCCAACACAGGAACGGAGAACGGAAACCGACTTGGGGAAGATCCTCATTGAGGGCGTTGTCGTATAGCTTGCCCTACACAATTCTTAGCATTCGTATGTTTGCATGATTACATGTCTGCCTACCATTGCCCCAGGCATCGACCGTTGTTGCAAGAAGCTCCTTGTTCTCCTCGACCAAATCTGCCAACTTCGCTATGAGCCTTCCGCGTTCAGTAACATCGATGTACTTCCATTATGGATTCTGGGGTGCTTTCTTCGCAGCCTGGGCTGTACGATCAACATTTTCCGCAGTGACGGTCTGGACTACAGTGATCTCCTCCTCAGTGGCAGGGTCTATTGACGATATCGTATTCGAAGGGGACGAAGAATCCACAAATTCATGATCAAGGAAGAGCCCTGTCGGCTGCTCCCACTGTTTCCTATTCGGCGCCTTGAGTTGGATGGTTTGTGGCATTGCGAAAGTCTATAGTGGGTTTATATTAATGAAAAGGCTTGGGGTGTATTTCGCCTGTCTTATTGTACGCATGTATGGTCTGCTAAATTGACAACGGGCCGTAGATACGACCAGGGATGAGCATTAGCTCGCTCTCGAGAAAGCAGGTGCATGCGAAGCGGGGCTCAGCTTACACTAAGTTATCGTGGTTACTCTCGGTGGACTAAAATACCCGGATAAACACTAACCTAACACCCACCAAAGTAACGCAGCATCAACAAGACATTGATACACTCCAGCATTAGAGAATTATACAAGTTTCCCGTTACACCATGATAATATGTACGTAACCTCTAGAACTCTGGCATATAAAATCCAATTTTATCTAAATGCGTCGTGGTGAAGGTGGCTGGTTTTATTGCAGTATCTTAGTATACCAAGAGCGGGGGCTAGTGATATCACTCACCGGGGCTAGGCGTTTCTCTCCACTTTAGGTAGTCCCTCAACACATGCATAAACTTCCTTCCCGTGACTTGTGAGCAGGGGAGAGCTCATCCAGACGCAGGATTATGTAAACCCCGCAGAAATTCGGAATAGATATCCGCATCATGGATAAGTCTTCACAGACGGCATTCCAAGAAACAGTATTCACTTCTGGGTTTCGTATTGAATGCGGAAAGAATCTATCATAGTAAAAGACCCCGCTAAACTCCGCCCATGCAGTGCTTGACGCTGATTCATTAGTAGCAGCAATTCTCCCATGATCCTTCATTTTCGCGCGAGCCACCTTTGTGCATTCATTTCATTGCCAAATCATTACTTCGTGAGAAGGGGTATCGAATGCGTGAGACATGTCCCAATCACTACGTCATCTTCGCTCGAAGTATGCTTTAAAACCCCTAAGGTGAACCGCGAGGGTTCTTGGTAAGCTTCGTCAGAGCACTAAGTAGGCCTGTTATGCTTGTTAGCGTTTCTCATGTCAATCGTGAAAAGAATGGCTCACCAGTTGCCCCGTTGGGGAGCGTCGACATGGCAATTGAGTTGCGATCACCAACTGTGACGGTCTGTACATTGGGAACAACACCATCGTCCTTGAGTTGCTTCGCCCAGCGGAAGACGTTTTCGTCACTACGGTCGTTGCCAGCAGCGAGGAGGAAGTCAGGTCGGGTATCCTCTGGGTACTTGCTGAAGATGTGCTGCGCAGCTGAAGCCTTGTCAAAGTCTACTGGCTCAATGACGACTGAGTCTTTTGTGGGGATTGCCTTGACACGCTGCTGCTCGCAAGCGTCGTTGATGTGATTTGCACAATCGCCAGCGTGTCGACTTGTAGAGTCGTCTTTGTCGTCAGACTTGTTGTAGTGGAAGATGATCGAGCAGTGGCGCTCCTCAACCCAACTGCCTTCGACACGCTCAAGGTAGTATTGCAAAATCGGCTTGACTGAATCCTTCCACCTCACTGTCTTCTCCTCGTCAGGGAATTGGATCCACTCTTTCGCGCCAGGCTCGCGTAAGAAGCAGCCATTCTCTGCAATGAGACCAAGACCACGGACACGGTTGAAGATGAGCTCGGTTTCTCGAACAGTTCGGCCAGTCATAACATAAACGGCGTTCTTGTCGTCGGCAACGAGATCGTTAAGAAGAACGATAACACGCTCGGTATTAACAAGAATAGTCTTATTGACAGACCCGTACGATGAAAGAGTACCTTCATAGTCTAGAATGAACAAGCGTCGCTGTGACTGCTGGTAGGCACTGCCAAGGCTGCTCGAAGAGAGTCGGGGGATCGACATAGTATCGCGCTTGAATTGCTCCTCATAGACCTTGGCGAGGTGAGTGCTCAGTTTCTTAACCCAGTTATCACCAGTCTGGTTCATGACGATGTTGCGCATCTTGGTGAACCTTCGCTCCTTCTCATCGTCCTTCATTTCCAGGGCGATCCGGAAGGCTTCGGCAATGTTGTTGTAGTCCCATGGATTGATAGCGAGGTCTGCCCCATCAAAAATAGACGCACTACCAGTGAACTCGCTGAGAATGACGGGGCTGTGCTTCTTTTCGCCTCCGCGTCCATCCTGACAAATGACAAACTCATGGCAGGTCAAGTTCATGCCCTCACGAAGACTGGTAATGGCAAGCGCATCGGCAATGGATAGCAGAGCAAGGTACTGCGAGAAGGAAATGTCCTGTCTGAGGAAGATGAGGGGATTGTGAGTCAAGGTCGAGTGGACAGCATCGATACGGGTAACAATCTCAGAAACGGTTGCCGCCAACTCGGTATCTTCGGTAGTGGATGTTGCGACCTGGATCATGACAACCTTGTCCTTCCACTCAGGATATTTGTTAAGGAACAACTCAAAAGCTAGTAACTTTTGGCGCACACCACGAATGTTGTCTAGCTTATCGCGAGCAACAATGACCTTCTTTCCCTCGTACCGCTTCTGCATCGTTTGAATCCACTCCAGGACCTCAGGCTCTTCTCGAGCTAGAGACAGTGCGCGAGGGTCAATGCCGATGGGCGAGGACCCGACGTTGACGAAGCGGTTCTCAAGCTGAACTCCATCCTCCGTAGCCTCTACGGATAGAATACGACTACAGGTTTGCAGGAAGTGGTGGGCGTACTCGGGTGTCTGGAAGGCGACGAGGTTCGCTCCAAGCATACCATCAAGAAGCTCCTTCCGAGCAGCAAGGCATCGGAAAACCTCAGAGGACGGGAAAGCTGTGTGCAGGAAGAATCCAATCTGTGCATCTGGTAGCTTTTGGCGAATCATCTGAGGAACAAGACATAGGTGGTAATCATGCACCCATATGACATCTCCGCGCTTGTAGTTTTTAACAACCTTGTCTGCAAAAGCTTGGTTGACTTTGACATAGAATACCCATGAGTGGTCAAGGAAAGCCTTGCTCTTGGGGTGGTCAGGAATGATGTAGTGAAATACTGGCCAAAGAATCGTCTTGCAGTAATGGGCGTAATGACCGTCAAAGTCTTTGTCACTGACAAAGACAGTCAGAGCATCGTGTTCCTCCTCAAGCTTCTCGTAGATCTCAGTCTTCTTCTCTTCGTTCAGACTGTCTGTAGGGAAGCCAATCAGGCCAACGGTGATGGTATCACTAAGGCACTTGTTGTCGACTGCAGCACGGAGAGCGTTGGTCAGGCCGCCGTTGCCCTGGGCAGCAGGGACAACTCTATATTCAGCGGCCCATCTTGGGTCTGTCACTGGCTTACCAGCGTGTGAGCCCTTCATGCGTTCCTTCTGGGCCTGCGCCCGCTCCTGCGCCTTTGCGTATTCGAGAATTGTGTCTGGTGGGGCGGGCTCGGCTCTGGAGACGGGCTGGTTGAAGAAGATACCGCTGCCACCCCATTCAGGGACATGAGCATCGCTGCGAACCAGGCCGCGAGGATCGGCTGCGTTAGGGAAGTGAGTGGCGGCGCTTGGCTGGCCAGGCGTGAAGAAGTCTTCGTGCTCGGTCATACGTGTCGAGGCTTTAGGCAGCGCAATGTGCGAGGGCGGCGCCCGCTTAAGGAGACTTTGGGGTTGCTCTTCATTCTTGCCGGGTGCGGGCCGTGTGCTCGATAGGTTGGTGGTGGATGGCTTGCGAAGAGTGTCGCTCAGCTGGGTAGGTACGGCTGCTTGGGGCGGACTTGGAGGGGCAGACTTGTTGTCTTGAAAGTCGACGGTATAGGGTAGGAACCTAGCCGTATTAGAGAGGTTGAAGTTCTACACCTACTACTCGAGAAGAAAAAGAAAAAAACAGGTCGTCTGCAAACGAGGGGAGGAAATGGTGGGCTACCTACAGAGAAACAACATGTGTAGTCATGTTGGGCGGCGGGTTGGCGTTGTCGCCCAGCGATGAGGAATTGGCTGTATAGGGACGGCGATAGAGATGGTGGACAGATACAGGTGTCGAAGAGCAGAGCCCGTTTTCACGACCGGTGAGAGAATCTAGGTGAAGGTAAAGATAGAGGCGGTGGAAGGATGCTGTGAAATTTCCGGTAGCTTCGATCGATCGTGGTTGAGCTATTTGCAGGGAAGCCTCACTGAGTTCCGGCCTGTCTACCCGGCGCCCAAAGCAAGAAAGCGGGAGCTAGGAGGATGCACGTGCAAACGACTGGCTTTGCGGGTGGCTTTGTGGATGTAGCTGGCTAGGGTGTCGTGAGGCTGGCCAGCAAAGGGACTCTGTTGGTTGTTTTGTCTGGTGGCCGCCGCAAATTGCAGTGTTGTCCCCCTCCCCGCGGCGGGCAGACAGCATGACGTATCCGCGCAACACGGAGCAAGTACAGTACTGTTTGCCAGTGGGCCTCTCTCCACCCTCTTACACCAACCCACTGCAGTCACTGTGCCGCCCCGAGAAAAGTCCTGCGACAACTCCAGACCAACATCATTTCTACGTGGAATTCACGAAATTGGCACGTAAGCCCGCTGTGAACGGCTGCTGGCGTGCCTGACAGCTGCGAGGTAGATAGCGTGCCCCGCGCGCCAGTTCGATACGAGAGGGTGCTGCGACCGTCAAAGGGCTATCACATGTGTATGTACCATCTATCACTCTCTGTCCTCTTGTGTGTTGCAGTCTTCAACTGCCGCAGGGCCGTGACTGTGCAAGGGGGAGGAGGGGTAGGTGGGGACAGGGTTGGGCAGCTTAGCAGCTTACCGGCCGTCAAAGCCGTCATGGCATTCCTCAAGAATCCGATGTCACGCAAAGAATCCGATGTTGACACATACGCAAGCTGTTGCCCCCCACATACCCATAACCTGGCTATATGCCGGTTGTAGATATTCAGCCTTCTGATGATAAATTTTGCGCTTTGGAGAGAGCCTGCAGTGCCCTTGGGACGTAGGGCTCTGGGTTCCCGGCCGTGAAGGTACCTATCAAGTAAAAAAAACGGCTCAGAAACGCAGTCAGACACCATCTCACCTGATTGCATGCTACCATCTTTTTCTCCATGACACCCAGCGACCACATTATGACGTGGGGCGGGACTGTCGGGACACCATTCGCCCGTTCCTCACCTCCCAGCGTGATGTGATGAGCCTCAAGCCCCACCCACTAGGTGTTGAAGGGAAGAGAGCGCCGATAATAGCCCGCCCCAGGCGTTCACTCTCGAGTCTCCATGACTGGTCGTCAAGAAAAGCATTGAACAACACAGACAACACAGCTTTGTTCATTGTGACCCACTACTATGTATCCATCTGCGATCAAGCCCTCCTCTTCGTCTCTCCCTCAGGCACCCCAATCCCCAGCAAATACCCCGTCCGAATCAACACCGGTAGCACATTCAAGCTATTCGTGACCCCGTCCTTTCCACCCCACCCCTCAGGCCCAAAAACCTTATACCCCATCTCACACCATGCAGCATAGCAATGCCCCAGATCGCACAGCAACAGCCCAAACAAGATCCACCGCCACGTCCTCTTATCATCCACAACCCGTAATAGCACCGCCTCTGTAAATGCAAAGAAGATGTACGCCGCAGCCAATTGATCGCACACAATCTGTGATGAGGCGCTGTAGCCCGACGTCGCCGGCATAAAGTCAAAGTAGCTCTCCGGGTTGAAGTGCAGTCTGTATACCCCGCCGAGCGCAAAGACCGGCTCAAGGTATAGGTGCCACAAGATGTAGATGAACGGCGTATTTGGCGGTGCCATAGCTACTGCTATGCGGTTGCGGCGAGGTAACGTAGAAAGGGTCCGCGGGAGGCGTAGAGCGTTTGTAGCAGATAGAATACGACCACTACTAGTATGTAGTGTATGCAAGGGGGTATTGTTTGCGCGAAACGGTTCGCTGGTCGTGGGTCCTTTTGATAAACTGGGGTGCGTACGTAGTATCAATTCGTCCGAAAATAACTAGTAGGTAGTCGCAATAGTCGTATTCGTGTAAATACACACACGCACAGAGTCGTCAAAAGGGCGTGCATGCAAATGCTTGGAACAAGTTTAAAACACGGAAAAGTGGCGGACCCTCGTTCACTCGTCATGCCATGAGAAGCGCACGTGTGTGTGTGTGTGTCGACATGCTGGGCCACTGATAAACCTGTTTGCTTTGCCTTGTTTAGTCGCGGACTTCCGCCCTCCTTTGTACGTTGGTTATTGGCGGAACGTGCCCACGGTGATCAACGCCCATGGCTCCAAACTGCCTTGTTGGGAAGTCAAATACGCAATGTACTCTACATGGTAGATACGGACCTCCGGTTGCTGCAGGTGACCCACACCCCTGCTACGGACATGAGTATCCCCACATTTCTCAATTGGATTTATCCACTTATCTCGATACTCATTCTTTTGTGTGTCTTTTTTTTCTCCACCTGCAGCGTATATCGTGGAGGCATACAAGGTACAGAATTGTGCCTACCTCTTGCTGGCACAGAGCGCAAAGCGCGGTACGTTGGTTTGTAGTAGGATTTACGTCAGACGTGAGCGGAGAATACATGGCCTGTGAGACCTAAAACATATCGTTTGCATGGAAAAATTAAACTATTTTTACTACTAATCATTTAAACAAATCTACAGAAATCTACATTCTAGAAGGACGCAGTTGTTCCATCCCCATATCTCAGGCAAACGGTCCATGATTATGCCATATGCAACAAAGAGACCTCTTTTCTGTTCGTCCATGGTAATGGTTTCTCATCATGTCAAGTGCCATGCTTTCGCGAGTCCTACAGGCTGCTTGGTGCTTCGCTGCATGTACAACAGTACTGTTCAAGCTCCCCCACTACCACAGCGATGCCACGATCGATGCCCAGACACGTATCTCTCGTTGCAGTAATCACCGATTGGCTCCTGACCTACTGGAGAGCTGTGCGGAAAATAACCCTGTGGGTCGGACCTTACATGTGATCATCACAAAGACTACCATGGGACCCCAAACCTATATCCAATCCTTGGAACTGCACACACACACCTCTCTCCTTTATATCTCTACTCTGACTTCGCCTCTTGTACATATACGCTTATGCGTTGTTTGTCCCTGACTGCCTCGCAACTCAACGCGCCATTCCCTAGTTGCTTGTACTTTATTTCCTCGCTGTTATCCAAGTAATTCTCAAGGAAATACTGTGCTGCCACTTCATTGGCTACCACCATGCTTCGGCGACTGGTTACTACCGCTGCCTCTTCGCCTGACTGCATGCCTGCCCTGCTCGCCACTACATGGTATATTGTCCGACCGTCATGGGCTTGTGACGCTGATTTCTGCGAGTACAACGCCTCACGTAGCGCAAGTGGGTACGTATTGATGTCCCCTGGTACCGTTTTTGTCGGACTCCGCGTTGCTATTGCAGCCGGTATAACCGAAGATACCGAAGGGGGCTGTGTCGGTTGGGCGTAGGGCCGACCATGTGTGTACGGTTGGGCGAGGGCTAGCGCAGGACCGCTCGGAACGGGGACAGGAGCCAGATGCGGCTGCTGTTGTTGCTGCTGTCTCTGGTGTTTGAGTAGAAAGTCGCGGTGTTCATCGAGCTGAGTTCTTAGTGCGTCGCTCGTGGTTTGGAAGATGCGCTCCTGGACGCCGGGGCCGAGATTGCGAGAATAGTGACGCAAGTCGGCGCTGCAGTCAAGCTGCAGCAGGCTTTGTTGGCGATCAAAGGCATAGAGCCGCATAGAAGCTGTTGCTGTCATGTTAGATGCTGACTTCACCAAACTCGACGATGCACTGGAGAATGAGGGTGAAAATCTCACACAGTGTGCATGACGCGGATATTGTGCAATCCCTGGAAGCCCCGAAGTCCGTATTCGCGTCTCCACGTGATGACGTGCGGTAATTCGCAAGACACACGTCTTGATAGGAGACTTGAATCAGACGACTTATGGCCTGCTTTGTCTTGTACTCTATATCTAACACAATCTTCTAGATAGATGGGCACATGGATGCTCGCACGTGTCCATTGATACCTCATATCACTCTACAGGCAAAAGAGGCTAGGAAATTACGGCTCCATTGTCCACCATGTCTTTTTCTTCTACCACTGACAAGGTCGCATAATTAGCTTTACTGCAAGTACATCCGAAGTACCACCACCGATGGGATCTGGACCCACAATATCGTTACATAAGACCGAGAAATCGCTGTGCATTAACGAAAGTAAGACCATGGCGGTCTCGCCGCGTCACACCCTTTCCATGATCACGCCGAAACTACGCCGCGCCTACCACCGACCAAACGCCACAACTAATAGAAGAACAAACAAATCTCGAGGATCGCAACACTGCATCTCCCAACCTTCTGCTGTCCTCAAAAGTATTGCTCAGATGTATGCCACTAGCGGTCCGTAGATATACATCTTCATGATCATCAACAGATATTCATGTAATGGTCGAAACGCACAGAATACTGAACAAAGCTGACAGACAAGAAGCTGTCTCTCGTATTAGCAATTTGACTCAGACTTTCAATGACGCTTGGACATACTCAACCACCACTGCTGACCTTTTTAGTAGCCCATAGGGAGTCGGCCACTGAGTGCTTCATGAGCATCGCGCAGGAGGGCCTCGTAGTGCTCGCAAAGATCCGGGAATGCTACAATGGCATGCTTGACCGGAAGGGGAATGTCGCAGACAATCTTGCGCCAATCGTTATGACGTCGGCAAACAATACTAATTAGCTCCCTCATGCACTTCAATCCCATGATGCAGATTGTGCGGGCCCATTCCATATCGACAGAGCCGTTCGGATGCTCCAAGTCCTGTGTGGCGGGGTTAATGAGTACAGACCATGCAAAGTTCCCCTGTGATGGGGGTGAAGCTACTGTAGACAAGGTGGCAGGGGCTTTTCCATAGGCAGCGCCGAGCTTGTAGTACTGTGCCCAGACACTGTCGAACGGCTTTGCGAAGGGGTTTGGTGGGGTTTTGTCATGGGAGCCGTTGTAGTCATGCTGACCTCGTCGAAAAGCCATCTCCTGCACAGCCAGGTGCTCAGGGATACCGTTCACAAAAGCTCTCTTAGATGTGACGGGACTGGCTATGGTAAGGGGGCCACGGCTGCTATTGATGGAGGCATCACGTGGTGAGCGCCAGGTCTCGGATACATGATTGACATGTGAGTTGCGGCGAGTTCGCAGTGGGGTAATCGGCTATACAACGATTAGCCTACATTCGTTGAGACATGTTCGGGTTCAGGCAAGCTCTACGAGATGCATAGCCTATAGCGGGACGTACCGTAGCATCACTGCGGCCAACCTGTGACATGGACTGTCCAGACGAGGCGAAAGAACCAGCCGAGGTGCTCCCATCTGATTCAAAGCTTGCTGTAACCATTGGATCCTTGAAGGGGTTGACCGCTTGGAAAGGCGCGGTATGGCCGGTACGATTAGAGTCGCAGTGGTTGGTAGCTTTG